ACGGTGATGCTACTGCATAAACTGGCCTCTGCTATATGTCACTGTCAATTGTTTATACTGTACTATATACTCTCCACACGGTGATGCTACTACATAAACTGGCCTCTGCTATATGTCACTGTCAATTGTTTATACTGTACTATATACTCTCCACACGGTGATGCTGCTACATAAACTGGCCTCTGCTATATGTCACTGTCAATTGTTTATACTGTACTATATACTCTCCACACTATATAGCCCGGAGGGTATGGTTATCTAGAGTGTGGGGGGTTCTCCCTGGAACCTCAATTGAGTTAAGGGTGTCGCCACCTTTGGTGGATAGGCTCATCTGGGTGGGTCCCACTTCTATACCTGCCTCATTTTGGGAAACCTTGATGGCCTGGCAGTGATGTTGGGCTAGATCGGCAAATGAAGTGGATCGGGTGCTGGGATCAAGCCCGCTGGGGGTATCTGGGGATCTATCGCCCTGGTTATCCCTGGTTTCCCAGTGAATGGGTTGGCCTCGATCGGGTAGTGGTGCAAATAGGTGGTTGGGGTTTCCCCGTCAGCTTGCTGGCGGTCCCCTTCTCCCTGGCTTTGGTAGCGGGCTTCGGCCTGTCAGGGATTAGGTAGGTCCCGAGTGTTGCGTGCACTGTGTAGCGCACAGGGCACTTCATTATGGTCCCTCGGGGTTTTGGCCAAGGTGGAATTCATTTGGAGTGTGCGTGCGAATTAGTAGCTGGTATTCCTGGTTAGGATTGAGGGGCAACCCTCTTTCCGAAGGGTTTCTTCGGCAGCCAGCGAGCTTGATGACCTTAAGTCATCCACCCATGGTGTGTCCAAGGTTGGTGCGCAAGCTCCGACCGACACTATGGGTCCCGGGTTAAGTGCAAATAGGTACCGGGTAGTCGTCGGGGAGTTTCGACTCCTTCGACATAAGAATAATAATTAATAATAATAAATATTAATAATAATATGTCACTGTCAATTGTTTATAATGTACTATATACTCTCCACACGGTGGTGCTACTGCATAAACTGGCCTCTGCTATATGTCACTGTCAATTGTTTATACTGTACTATAGACTCTCCACACGGTGGTGCTACTGCATAAACTGGCCTCTGCCATATGTCACTGTCAATTGTTTATACTGTACTTTATACTCTCCACACATGGTGATGCTACTGCATAAACTGGCCTCTGCTATATGTCACTCTCAATTGATTATACTGTACTATATACTCTCCACACGGTGGTGCTACTGCATAAACTGGCCTCTGCTATAGTTACTGTCAATTGTTTATACTGTACTATATACTCTCCACACGGTGATGCTACTTCATAAACTGGCCTCTGCTATATGTCACTCTCAATTGATTATACTGTACTATATACTCTCCACACGGTGGTGCTACTGCATAAACTGGCCTCTGCTATAGTTACTGTCAATTGTTTATACTGTACTATATACTCTCCACACGGTGATGCTACTTCATAAACTGGCCTCTGCTATATGTCAATGTCAATTGTTTATATTGTACTATATACTCTCCACACGGTGATGCTACTGCATAAATTGGCCTCTGCTATATGTCAATGTCAATTGTTTATACTGAACTTTATACTCTCCACACATGGTGATGCTACTGCATAAACTGGCCTCTGCTATATGTCACTCTCAATTGATTATACTGTACTATATACTCTCCACACGGTGGTGCTACTGCATAAACTGGCCTCTGCTATAGTTACTGTCAATTGATTATACTGTACTATATACTCTCTACACGGTGGTGCTACTGCATAAACTGGCCTCTACTATAGTTACTGTCAATTGTTTATACTGTACTATATACTCTCCACACGGTGATGCTACTGCATAAACTGGCCTCTGCTATAGTTACTGTCAATTGATTATACTGTACTATATACTCTCCACACGGTGGTGCTACTGCATAAACTGGCCTTTGCTATAGTTACTGTCAATTGATTATACTGTACTATATACTCTCCACACGGTGGTGCTACTGCATAAACTGGCCTCTGCTATAGTTACTGTCAATTGTTTATACTGTACTATATACTCTCCACACGGTGGTGCTACTGCATAAACTGGCCTCTGCTATAGTTACTGTCAATTGATTATACTGTACTATATACTCTCCACATGGTGATGCTACTGCATAAACTGGCCTCTGCTATATGTCACTCTCAATTGATTATACTGTACTATATACTCTCCACACGGTGGTGCTACTGCATAAACTGGCCTCTGCTATAGTTACTGTCAATTGTTTATACTGTACTATATACTCTCCACACGGTGATGCTACTTCATAAACTGGCCTCTGATGTATGTCATGGTTGACTGCCTATATATAGTAATATACAGGGTGAATTTTAAATGAGTTCCCCCCCTACTTTTTTCTACATTTCTTAAGATATCAACTTCGGACCACGTCAGATCATTGTAGTGTAGTAAGTACTTCATTTTGACTGGATAAACATTTTTGGCCGCCATCTTGGATCCGCCATATTGGATACAAAATTTTTTTTCAAATGTAAAGGTAGGGTTGTGACCCATTGTTTCAAACTAGAATTTTACGCTGATTACAATGCCACAATTAGTTTTAAAAAATCTTGATCCGTTCTAAAGTTATGAGGACTTTTTATAACTTTATTTTTAGCCCATTTTAACATTGTGCATTTACAAACTTTAGACCATAATCTCAAAATAGTGCTAGATAAAGATAAGTATACACCACCATTTATTGTCGACCTATTATCACTTGGTTATGACGGATGTATTTTTTGGCCGCCATCTTGGATCTGCCATTTTGAAATGTGATAAATTAATTTAAATATGAAGGTGGTCTTGTGACCCATCATTTCAGACTACTTTTTTAAGCTGAATTCAATGCCGCAATCCGTTTTTGTTTCTCAGGCTTTCTTGATGAAATATTAAAATTATCTTACTTAAATTTCCATTATTTCAAAAAACAAATATGAAAATGCAAAACGGATTGCGGCATTAAATTCAGCATAAAAAAGTAGTCTGAAATGATGGGTCACAACACCACCTTCATATTTAAATTAATTTATCACATTTCAAAATGGCAGATCCAAGATGGCGGCCAAAAAAATTCATCCGTCATAACCAAGTGATAATAGGTTGTCAATAAATGGTGGTGTATACTTATCTTTATCTAGCACTATTTTGAGATTATGGTCTTAGTTTGTAAATGCACAATGTTAAAATGGGCTAAAAATAAAGTTATAAAAAGTCCTCATAACTTTAGAACGGATCAAGATTTTTTTAAACTAATTGTGGCATTGTAATCAGCGTAAAATTTTAGTTTGAAACAATGGGTCACAACCCTACCTTTATATTTGAAAAAAAAATTTTGTATCCAATATGGCGGATCCAAGATGGCGGCCAAAAATGTTTATCCAGTCAAAATGAAGAACTTACTACACTACAATGATCTGACGTGGTCCAAAGTTGATATCTTAAGAAATGTAGAAAAAAGTAGGGGGGGAACTCATTTAAAATTCACCCTGTATACTCTCCATGAAGAAGACAATTAAGGCAGTCATGGTCTCCTTCGCATCTAAGAAAAATGCCAAACAAGTGTTTAAGTACAGCGTGGCCAAACTCAAGAAATACGATGGTTTCCTCTTAACTTGGTGAGTGTTATAGGCCCCTACGAAGGAATGACCGCGTTTGGGGTAACTTAGGCGGGCAGAGGTCACCTCCAAGAAGAAAGAGTGTGGCAATAAAGGCGCATACGATCTTCACCAAGGCTGAAAGGTCGTATGCGCTTTCTTGTGCCCTTTAGGTGAAGCTGGGTTCCACTCGGCCCCTGCTCCTAAAATACGCGGTGCAAAAGTCCAGGGGGAGGCAATTTTGGTTAAGGCCGTTACCGGGGAGATCATTCACTGAAGACTTGAGTGTAATCAAGGACGAGGAAAAGCAAGATCGGAGAAGACCGATGCGGTCCTGCAGTCGATTAGGCATATCCAATACGGGGACATCCTCTTTGAACTGGATGAAACGAAAACCGCTTTGGTAACCGAACTAAACGCTACTGTGAAAGGCCAGTTAGGCCTTCATTTAGTGAGTATTCTTTAACGAATTAGGAGTATCACACTACATGCCGTGTGTGAAGTGTATTAACTTAAATGCATTGATATTTTTCTATTTGTAATTCTTTGGTTACCTGTATTAAATCTGCTAGCTCGATCCATGTACCGATAGAAATTACGATGTGACGTCATATAGCCTGATCAAATAAACTAATTTTGTTTCATCACACCACCTTCCGTTTCCACTGCTATCACGATCACCCCTAAAAAACATTTCCCTCCTAATCATTGAAAAAATACTATTTTACTCTCCACACGACCGATGCCCCTGCATTAACTGGACTCTGCTATATGTTACTGTCAACTGTATATACTGAAAAACTCTCCTTATGCCTACTAACTAAACTAGCCTATGCTATATTTTTAGTGCTAAATGTGTACGCCTTTAAAGGTCAAGTAATCTCAGAGAATCATTTAGAATACGCAATAGAATTAACCATTGACAAACAGACATGTTTTGTATCCTATTGTAAGTTAACTGGCATTGTAGCTGGTATTTAAACGAGCGAAAGTATACAGTTGCCTATGTTGCTGTAACTTTTTTTTTAACTTGTTGGACTATTCATCTCTTGCATGCTAAGTACAATGTGTGGCTTTGAATTATGATTTTAAAATCATTAATTCACATTGAAATATATTTTACCTTTGGTTGAATGTACAATATACTGAAGATCTGCATTAAATATTCCGTTAAGTATTAAAGCATAACATTTAGTATGAATTAAGCTATCAAAAATTAAAAAGAATCTAAATTTAAAGATTTGTTAAGTTTTATTTCTTGCGTGGCTGGATATTGCAATAGTTTATAACTTGTTTATAACAAGGTCTAATAAAATAATGGAATTAGGAATGTAAAATTTATAAAGAAAAATACAAGCTACTTATAACAATTTAATACATTTTATACTATTTACAAGGCCAATAGGCCCAACAATGTACGAGTATTATTTAGGTACTTCAAATAAGGCAATCTGAAAATAGCCTTAGTATTATACAATTAGAGTCATAGTTAAACAGTATGACGAATTGTTTCCAGTGGAGCAAGACTAGGCGCGATTATTTAGTGGCAATCCTTGACAACTCTAGTTGGACTGTGAAAAATGGTGAGGTAAAGATTGTGGGAAAACGGTGGCTCAGGAATTTAGAAAGCGTCCCTTACAAAGTAAAGCATGTGTATCAATTTGACGGATCGAAAGTACCTGATCGATATGAAAAACAGGTACCTACTCTGAAAATATAAAACTAAAGTAGAATGGATGTGATCCAAATGACTTTAACTATTTGTTTGAGAGCGAAGTCGTGGTAAAAGACTATGAGGGAGGAACTCTGAGAGCTGGTAGAAGTTGGTTGGTCCAGAACTGTAGTTTTACAAATTACTTTGAGGCTGGAGGATCTATTTCTATCTGGGAGTGTAGTCATGGTAAAAGACTGTGAGGGAGGAACTCTGAGAGCTGGTAGAAGTTGGTTGGTCCAGAACTGTAGTTTTACAAATTACTTTGAGGCTGGAGGATCTATTTCTATCTGGGAGTGTAGTCATGGTAAAAGACTGTGAGGGATGAACTCTGAAGGCTGGTAGACGTTGGCTGGTCCAGAACTGTAGTTGTACAAACTAATTTGAGGATGGAGGGTCTATTTTGTCTATCTGGGAGTGTAGTCGTGGTAAAAGACTGTTAGGGAGGAACTCTGAGGGCTGGTAGACATTGGCTGGTCCAGAACTGTAGTTGTACAAACTAATTTGAGGCTGGAGTGTCTATTTTATGTATCTGGATGTGTAGTCATGGTAAAAGACTGTTTGGGAGGAACTCTGAGGGCTGGTAGACATTGGCTGGTCCAGAACTGTAGTTGTACAAACTAATTTGAGGCTGGAGGGTCTATTTTATCTATCTGGATGTGTAGTCGTTGTAAAAGACAGTGGGGGAGGAACTCTGAGGGCTGGTAGACGTTGGCTGGTCCAGAACTGTAGTTGTACAAACTAATTTGAGGCTGGAGGGTCTATATCTATCTGGGAGTGTAGTCATGGTAAAAGACTGTTAGGGAGGAACTCTGAGGGCTGGTAGACGTTGGCTGGTACAAGTTGCTTGTCTGGTAATTATGGGGGTTGTAGTCCACAGGGGGCAGCACTGAACCTCCATGACTTACTTTGGGTACACTGCAAAAGAAATAAAACTCGTTAAACCTTGAAATATGCCACAACTGTAGTAATTATATGTTACCCTTAAGTAGCCCAAAGGGAAGAGGCACTATTGGACCCACCTTTGAACTGGAACGTAGGGCGTCGAGTAGACGGATGGCTGGAGGTGGTAACCGTAGTCTGCCAGGTAGGCCGCGGCTGTGGTCTGACCGTATGCCGCAGTTCCACCATACACAGGTCTGACCGGCGACGGACACCCGCTCTCGGCCGTCTCGCCTTCTGTTAACAAGTTAATTTAGTTTTGGTTTGACGGTTGGTGTGCAATAATTTATTAGCATGGACGCATAATCTCTCAATTGCATTGAGACAGGAAACTACAATGATTTAACTGTTTATTTTGAAACTATGAATTCAAAGCAAATACACTTCATTGTATGCACTTTTTTTAAACTTCAAAACTAGTGGAAGTGGAGTACAAAGTTAATTATATGATGTTTGAATATGTAGGATTGGCTTTCTGTTTCCAAATTAGATAATGGATGAAAACTACAAAAAGTATAGATGTCTGAAATAGTTTTTGTTGATATTTATAAGACTCTTGTTCACACATGAGTGAATTAATGTGAGAGTAAATTAGGATCCTTGTCACTAAGAATGATGAGCCATCGTGTCTGCACAAGCAGACTTGGGTGTCACGGGCTGAGCGGCGACCGCTGGCGCATAAAAAAGGCCTTAAGTGTTTGTTCAAGTACGTGATTGAGGGTGAAACGAGTTTGGAGTCAATTTTGGTTACCATTACAGTGTTTTAGTCAATTTATTGTGACCGTGTGAGTCAGTGTTGGGTTGGTGTACGTTATAACTAGTGACTCAGTTCGAACCAGTTTAGGTGAGTATTAGTATGTATATTATTTTATCTATGTCAGTTTGTGATAGCGAGAGAGTGTCCTCTTGTCATTTTGTATTAGTATATATTGTAGTAAATGTTCATGTCAGATGTCAGTGTATGACGGTACCACAGAGTGACAAGACATTTTAGTGCAAGTGAGTGTTTAATCACTTCTTGTTTGATCGAGGAAGAGACCCAGCATTTGTCAGTGCATAGAATTTGAAAAGGTTTATGCTAATGCAAGTGAGTGTTTACGTTAGGTTGGGCTAACTTAATGCGAGTAAACGTTTGAACCAGGGTGGAAGGGCAAGTATCAGTCAGTTCAGGTTATTTCCTAAATAATATAAAACTAAAATAAAACTCTTAATTTTTAAATATTTTTAGTTTTCATGTTTTTTTATTTATTTAATAAGCATATGAATAACATTGTGTCATTCGATTGCTAGTGTGCTATCAGTTTTTGGAGTGATAGTTATGATATGAGTCAATTTGTCAGTTCCATAGAGTTTAAAATGGTTCATATTCATGTAAGTCAATGTGTAAGTTCAATTGAGTGTTTGAGTTATGTTGTGTGAATTCAAGCTAATGTTCAAATCCGCCAGAGTGTTCGAATCAGTTTGTGAGTCCTCAGCTCAGTCGATTGAGCATTCGTCAGTGAGTGACGTACTGCCCCTGAGCTCCGTCGCACAGGAACTCGAGCCCGCGCTTATTTTAGCCCGCCAGACAGCTCTCATATATTACTGACCCAGATGGATGTCTTCTGAAAAACGTGCCAGCCCCTGCCCTGAAAAATACTAATTTGTTGTCTATTTGTTTGGATTGTAGTCATTTATCTCACCCTTGGCTCCTTGGGGACAGTTCTTCCGCAGAGGTGTCGCTCGCTGAGCCAAGGCGTGCGCTGCCGGGCTGTGTAGCTGAGTCATCTCTGGACCGCTGCAACAAACCTTAGCTACAACACTGAAATTGTATATTGAAAATTAGTTATGCAATAAAAACTACTGTAACTTTTATAAAAGCAAAATGTGTACCAACACCAACACAGCTTCTTGTTTTTATGTACCTATCTTTACAAATTTGGTTTCGCCTTGTTGATAAGTTTGTGAATTTAAGTTTATTGTAGTAAACAGCTGTTATATGATTGGATTATTTATGAATAAATCTCAAACACTTCTTAATGAAAGTGGTGCAAACCCCCAAAAAATTATGTATATGACACCAAGACATGTTTTCTTAATTATTTATCTACAGTGGACTTACATTCTCAATATGCAAATAAAGGAATCTCTAGATAAATATTTATTAAATATCAGTATGCACGTAATTGTTGTATGGCATTTGATGTATTCAGTATTTTGTATTAATTAATCTCAAACGAGTTTTTGATAAAGCAGTACAAACCCTAAATTTTTTTTAATGCACCAAGACATATTTTAATTGTATTTATCTGAGTGGGATTTTTATTTTTCTGCGAAAATGAACGAATTTAAAGATAAATGTGTGTTGTATAAAGATTATTGTAGAGCACAGTCTTTGTCAGTAATACACCAATGGAATTTTTATTGGTTTAATTCAACTGGATCGCGCTTAATGAAAATTCGATTAATTTCTTTCAATTTTGGTAGATATGACTTGGAACGAACCCGTCCCACCAATCCCCACAAAAGACCGAGACGCTAACCGTTAAGGCAAACAAAACACCCTAAACAGTTATTATTAAAACACCTTTAATGATCTTGTGGCTGCTGTATTTTTGTATACAAAGAAAATGGAAATAGACGACTGAAAAATTAATAATATCACTGCAGATTCAATGATCTTCAAAAGTTTGTTACATTTAGATTTATTTAAAAACTTAATTGTAAATATATAAACATAAGTAATTTAATATTGTAATATACTTTAGGCGTTGTTTCTCCAAAACAAGTGTATACTGCCTAATAAAACAAAGTGTACATATTTTGATACTTTGGTTGAAAATGATTGTGAATAGTTGAAAATGGCAAGTAAGCGAAACGTTGATTATTTCCGCATGAAGAATAATAATAATCCATTTTTTTATCCTGCACCATTTCGTCAAAATCTACAATAAACTAAGAAATAGTTTTGCAAAATAACACACGAGAAAACAAAAAGTATAAATATACAGACATTACTATCATAGAATTTCACAAGACTAAGGTAACAAACATAGAATTAAGAAGTATTCACAATTCTAATGTAGATGTTAAACAATGAATACGTACATACGTAAATAAGAGTATTTACTTATTTTTAAAATAACGACAGCTGATATAATATTAAACCAATTGTAATTTTGAAGAAAAACTATTATTAATTATCTATTAAAAGTAGCTCTTCTCCAAATACTACGAATATTAAATCGGCTATCAAGTTAAAAATAATAATTGAATATTCAATTACACGGCTACATCACATCATGTTGATTTACAACAGTCCATATTATAGTTGTGTTTTAAATGCATAATACTACATCATTTAGCTTAGGTTGAGCTATGTATTTCACTTTTATAATGTGAAGTTTTGCTAATATTGTAATTACTCATAAAAATACAATTTAACATAGGTAATATTTAAAAAACTAATATTTTAAGCTTTGCATATGTTGATATGTTGTCCTGGGTTATTGGTTTTGTCCTCTTCAGCGAATGTTTACCGTAATGTTGTAATCTTGTTTAGTGAGTCATAGAAATATTTCCTTGTATAAATTATTAGGCCTATATTTCTTGTAATATATTACTTCATCATTACTAAAATTAATTCATTATTCATTAATTACATCATTGAATTGTGTTGATCATAAGTTTATCATTACTAAAATGATTATTTTAAATCATTACTTCTAATTTATTAGAAGTACAACTCTTCAATTTACTGAGAGGTTATGTATCATATCAATAAATAAATAATTAGTGAATTAATACTTTGCTTTAAACTTCTGATGACACGAAAATTCTTTCCGATGTTTATTTTCACGTTACGATTGTCTCGTACCCAGCATTGATAAATAAATAATAAGGTAAAATTGTACTTTTATTAACCCAAATTTTTTTTATAATATTTATTTGGCATATCAAGTCAGTACCACAAAATTAAAACACCTGATCAAGAATATTTTACACATTTTAAATCTTACAATCTAACAAGTAAACACAAATATTTGTCAGTACAATTCACATCTTCCACAACGCGTTTCCTCGCTAACGACGTGATTAAATTTAACCACCATCCAATCCCTGCATCGTATGTTTTCTCACACATTGCTGGGAAACATAAAGTAGCTGCAAGATATTAAAAACGTCAACGTATAAAACCAGCAGTCAAAATAGAGAGGAGTGTGAGGTAAATCAACCGTGTCGTTGACAAAGACACTTATTAAACCTGGGGACTAATTTATGGGATGCTGGTGAGATAATTTGTGTCGGTAGCCAAAAGTTGAGCGACGGTTCCAACTCGTTCCCCGACTGACGCCGGTCGCCGTAGTCGGCCTCGCAGATGCAACCGATTCTATCCGATATTTATCGTCCATCTGAGTCAACCATTTGCCAGACCCTCATCCAGTCGAAGGTTTATCGCTCTGTGCTCTGTTATTTACTTCAGACTGGTACTGGCAAGGCTGTTTATTTGATCTAAAAGTGAAGAAAAGATCGTATTGCTACGATTTAGACAAATTGTGAACACTCAATAATCGAATTTAAATTTTCAAAAAGGGTTGACAAATTATTTTGTGACAAAAAGTATGTTTAACTCCACAGAAAAAATGTAGACTTAGTGACCAGCTAATGTGTTAGTTAATTTTCAAAAATGTGTTTAAACTTTTAATCCATTTGAATTGTAGATTTCTGAAAAAGGTAACTCAAAAGTAGATGTAATCTTTATGCAATAGTTTATTTATTTGTGAGGGTTAAAAATATCATTTGATGTTCATTCGTGATAAAATGAAATAAAAAATACATACTGCCTGTGTTCTATAGACCATTTTAGATTTTAACAAATCTATAAAGTAATGTTGTTAGAAAAGTAGGGTCCTAGAAAATTAGTTTTAGGCCTACACCTTTATATTTGTCATATCCTACGGAAAATTGGTTTACAGAGAATTTTCATTTAGATCTTACTTCATTGCAGTTTCTTCACTTTATGAATCTTTACAGTAATTAATAACATTGGATCAATCCTTATCGGACAGTTTTTAGGATTCTATAACACAAGTACAAGTAGCCTACAATTAAATACAGGGTGTCCGGAAATTTGGTAAAATATTTTAGTACATGATTTTAGAGGTAAAAATAAGGTTAAAATGTTTATTCAAACAAATGTCCTCAAGTGCTTAGTTTTCCGTCTGTGTCTGTTTTTGTTTTTATACATAATTTATCAGATCTAACAAACCTTCAGAGGTATTAAATCTAAAATTGGTATGTGCATGTGGAATAACAAGATGTAATTCGATATAGAGTATTAAGTTTCTACTTTGTACCATTTCAAAATGGCGACCGTTTTTTGTTTTTAAGGCTAAATGTCTTAAAAACCATAAATACAGGATACAAAATAGTTGTGAAATTTTATCCCACTACTCTGATAATATGATGATTGGACAACTAACAGTGGAGAAATTGCAGCTCTTCCGAATAAAAACACGAGCATTTATAGCATGCAGTTCAATTTCTGGACACCCTTGTATAATTTTTACAATTTCTTAATTCCATAAGTAAAAAGTCAGATGTAAATATGCAAACGGAATGTCAACACAGTTAGGTGAGCTGTGGGAATATAGTGGGTGCCCTGCTGGGTATATGGGCCACCCTGTTGGAGGAAGGGCACACGGGCACACACCCGGGCACCCCCCGTCGCCGCACATGCCCATATGGGCACACATCTGGGAGAGGAATCTTTGATTGATGCAAATCATGCAAGATGTGGTCCTTGCTATATGAGATGATGGCTCAAAAGATTCATTTTAAAAGTTGTGTATTCATTGAAAGTTGTAATTTCAAATTCACTCAAAAAGACCAATGATCGTGGTTTACTTCATTAAAAAATGTATGAATTAGCTTTTATGTAAGACATAATAAAATACTGTCAAATATGACTATTTGATGGTAAACTCTAGGCCATATACCTCATCTAAATCCTGTTCTACGTACAAAAGTATTTTGCAAAAATTCAATTCCAGAATGTATAAGAAACTGTGTTAGAATTGTTTCTAACACTGAGAGACTTAGTTTCTTGGAAAATATAGGGGCTTTCACAAATGTTTTACAATATGTAAAAAAGACATAAACATGTTGATAGTTATTAGAATTCACATACGACTTAAACTGTTGGTTTGGACTTAAACTATTACATTTAAATTTCATTTTATAGTGCTTATAATTGACTTTTACTCGTTTATGTTCTTGCCCTATTGCGAAATCTAGAAGCTATATTTTTTCTCATTTACACAAAATTACATGGACTAATTCTTGAATTTGGCTGGTTTATGTATTAATGATAAGTTGTAAAGGGGGTTTAATGAGCAATTTGAAAAATAATTGTTGTATCCTATCAGCGGGTACTCCAAAAACATCTTAATTGCAATTTTACCAATAAATATATTACTAACATTTTGGAAATTTAATATGAATTAAATATGCCTCAAAGTCTATATAACCAATGATGTACTTACCAGTCTTCCTGATCACAGTCTCGGAAACCCTTAGCAAAAGGATTGCTTGCTATCTTCAACTGCGTTATCTGTAACACAGGGCAATTATTAATCATTAATAAAACCTACCTCAGTACTAAAGGGTGTCCCAATAAGAACGCCGGATTTGAAATGTTAACAAACCATATATTTTCTCGCTAAATTTACAATATGAAACATGAATCTTAAAGCATAATATCTCCGATTAGTAATTGAGTATTATGTCTTGTAAGTGCCAACCTGCTGAATACTGACAAGCTCGACATCTCTTGACAAAGTTTTCCATCACTTTTTCACACACTTCCTGTTGAATTCCATTAATGGCACGAATCATTTCCTCCTTCAAGTCTTGGATTGTTTGAAGGTTATTGGCGAAAACAAGCGACTTTAAATTAATATCCCCAGTATAGAACTGAGCCAATTTATTCGAACTTATAAACCAATCTTCGGACAGATGGATCATTTGGTGCATTGTCCCGGCCGTAAATAGTGCGCAGCTTCCGTACTTGTAGTGCACTTTAACTATGACCACGCGTTGTTACGTCGTGTAGCGATTCATGACTACAAATTGGACCTAATACGGGTAACATCGCTGATAATTTGGGAATTCCTATTGAAATACAGATAAGATAAGACGCTCCTCAAATCCGGCGTTCTTACTGGGACACCCTATAATAGTATATTTTACCTCTAGCATGTAAAGTGACTCTTTCCAACCCGAACTCAAGTTTCCCACTTCTGTGGTTTGCCTCGATTGGAAAATAAGCGAGGGTTTAAAAGACACTTTTTGCCCCTATAATGAACATCAACATTATTTAAGCAAACTAAGTTAATAAAAGGAAAATACTTTTCATGCAGACAACTATTAAAACTATTTCCGTATATTGTATTCAATTTTGCTTATGCAAACAGTCAGTTGAGATAGTGATTCAATAATTTCCTCTATTACGATTGTGTTAGTGTACATTGTACTATCCATATGTAATCGATTTAAACAATCGATATATACGTTCGATACATGAGATTGCTAACAATTGAAATTTATGCTGAGTTAACAACTGCTGACTTTTACTTCCTCTAGGGATTTAAAATGATTTTTATTCCTTAGGGAGAAACAGACCAAATTTAGACGAACAATGCATGTTTTAAAAAACGCCTGTTTTTTCTACAGTATGACAAAAAATTAATTTAGAGTCAATTCCCTGAATGAATTCATTTAAACTCAGTGTTCTGCAAGTGCTCTTAAGACTTGTAGCACATGGATAAACTTCAGTAGGCCTACTTATTAACATATAGTTTTGGAATTCTCTATATGTATAACAACTGAAATGGCTTTTCATAATTTCAGGACTTAAAAGAGGTGGTTACACAAAATAGTTTAGTAAGTACGGAAAAACTATATTAAACATTTAAATAGTTATACTGTATGTATTTCTATGGAAAGACAGCTCAAACATATGGATAGTTCCTATCAAGCTATTATCAAAGAGCAATATTTTTTACTTCATAAGTGTACAAACGGTTTAAGAGTGGGCAGTATCAGTCGACCATATTGGGTTGATGTCCCTTAAGAACAATGTAATCGTTTGAACCATATAGCGCCGTTATTTGTTTTAACATAGATTACGTTTGATGTGTCATTGGAAAGAAAATACAGTTCTACAGGGTTTTTGCTTTTTATTTTTTAAATTAAAGTAATATTTAAATAATTATAGTAAAAATACGCTGGTTTAAGTTTACAATTTTATGGAGATAAAAAAATGAATATTTGAAATTCTAAAAGCAAACCCCCTGCAACATTTAATTAATTATCGAATAAAATTTGTTTTAAGAAGATCCGACGCAGATTCCGAACTACCTAGTCATTGTTACATCCCTAAAGAAACATTGGCGAATGGCTAGGTTTGGGTTCAGATGATAAGCTCAGAAGTACCACACTCTAACCATTGAGCCAAACCGAGCTCCTAAAGTAATACTACAGGCCGAGTATAATAACAATGCAGGGTGCTTACCCTCTGGTTCTGGTATGCAGTAACTGCAGTGAACCTCGTCTCCGGGAAGATGAAGGTTTTGAAGTTCTGGCAGCCAGGAGCTACAGTTTCGTCCTTAGAAGGTACGTATATAACATGGAACCTCGGCTGGTACTTGTGCATAGAGTTGAGAATAATCTGAAACATCGTCAAATAGTTTATTCCTAGGAATCCTTATGGTTTTCATGTTAAACTGACACGTATTAGATCTTTATGTATGTATAGTGGACACCAGATACGCAATCAACATACATTGAGTGTTGTGGACAATCTTTATGTATGTATAGTGGACACCAGATACGCAATCAACATACATTGAGTGTTGTGGACAATCTTTATGTATGTATAGTGGACACCAGATACGCAATCAACATACATTGAGTGTTGTGGACGATCTTTATGTATATATAGTGGTATGTATGTGGTTGTTTCGTCCTATTGAGTTTTCTGGTCTAGAAAGATTTTCTGGACAAAATGACCCACATAATAACCACTTCATGTTTAATTTTTATGAGTGCAGGCCTTATTTATGGGTATTATAATGAAATATCCATTGACAGAAAACAACATTTATCAGTATTTAAAATAATCTTGACCTTACCAAGAATAGTTAGAAGCTGTTTAGTGTACAATTTTTTAAAGCGTGTTTTCTTCCTTTACTTATTTTAAAAACAGGTTGGTAGCCCTTTTAACTTTGAACTTGCTCGTTAACATAGGCGTTTTGCCTGCGTGTAATGCAAATGTATCTCGTAAAACAAGGCGGACGGTTTAGTACATGAACTCTACTGATATGAAAAAATAAAGACATAGCTGCTTTGAGTTTGTTGCTTGTTATTCCCAACTTATAACGAGGTCATTACTAGTTTGTTTACAAGGTTCTTAATGCACTAACACATTACAATGTAACAAATACTTGCATGGCCGTTATCGTCGAGCTGGTTGTTGGTGAGCTTGAGCTTGTCGAAGGAGATGACTTGCTTGGTCCACTGAGCCCCCGAGGCGGGTGAGTCTGGGTGTACGTGGACCCTTGGGGGGGAGATGGGGTCTGCCTTACCCGCCACTACCCATGTCGAGCTTTATGGAAAAGACAAGACATAAGGGAGTTGTACAAAGTGATAGAAACAACAATTTTCATTATTCAGAATGTATATTTGACTTAAGTACACTTATTTGTGGTGTTTCGAAACTCCACTGTCTCTAAAAGCTCATTTGGGAATCGCATAATGTGTAAAAGATGTAGTAAGAGATTAAACATCAAACATAGCTAAACTGAGTTTCAAATGCATATAGGCATCACGTAATGGCATCCCTCAAATGAACGCCTCTATAGAAATGTTAGACTATAGAAAACAACAGTCCTCAAGTTTAAAGTAATCATCCACGAATCGTGCATCTTGGAGATCTGTATTAGATGAACAAGGTGATGTTTTGACTGATTGTGTCGAATCGTCATCTGTTCTACTACCTTTTACCGTCTTAGTGAGGACGAGTTAATGCGTGGTGTGACTAGCATCATGACGCCCGAGCAAAAAAAAACAAAAACAAAAAAACGGATCGTCGACTTTCAAGTACAGTAATTCTAATGCGACGGCAAATTTATTTAAAATTGCCCTATCCGACTTTATTTGAGGCGTAAATTCAGGAAGTATCATTTTAAATCTATTGGACTATTGATGTTAAATATATGCTAATCACCTAGTCTTGAACTACTAGTATACGTCCATGCAAAAGACCATTGACTTAAAAATTTTGGACGTGGTGTTCAGCTGAATTATGTAAAATTTACAATATATTTCCAGATAACTAATACAAGCTTATGGCCATTGTTTCCAGATTCCTTTGGCTGATAACTCGCAGCATGATTCGTTACTATTGTAGCACCATCGTTAACACATGATGCAAGATTATAACTATGAATATGAGAATACAAATAGAATTACAATAGATAAATAACCAGCAAATATTAGCCGTGAGAAGAACGATGCATTAGTTCACTCATTTATAACACCATATCCCAACTTTAAGTTGGTGATCCGTTGCGTAAGGTTATGCAGTATTTACAAGATATAGATAATAGATCATGAATCAAAAGTGAGCAGACTTATTACTCTGTACGATGATTATTCTGTATACAATGTTTAAGTGAGGTGAGCATACGTAAAAATGGGCAAAATTTTGTACCTGTGGAAAGCATATCTGTATCTCTTGTCATCCACGGGGACAAAATCCATCATCAGCATGTACTCTGCCGTCGGCTCCAAACCGTACAACCGCGCCTGGAAGGTGGGGAACATCCTCCTGTATTGTACACAAATAGGTTAAATAGAAAGAGTGCACGTTGATTAAAAAGGAAACTTGGAAATAAATAAAAGATTAAATAACTCAAAACATTTCAAAAACGAAAACGTCGACGAAGAACGTGGTTAAATGCCCAGTTAATGAAATATGTTTGACATTTTTTGCATTCATAGAAATATTAAAAGAGCTGTGAGAATGAACAAAGCATTTGGTGAAAGACAAAATCGTACATAGTAAGATATAGGTAACAACCACCTGCCCAATAAAACATCATACAAATTACTGTCAATAATATCCGTTAATAATGTCCGTATTAGTTCTTTTTTTAGAACAGACTTTGAGTCCTGTAGATAGAATATTTCTACTTGATGAAACTAGTCACAAAAAATAACTGCATATTATATAAGACCGTACTAGGTTTTAAACAAATATAAGGATGTTTGACATAAACATTTACATAGTTATAAAGATCGTTAAAATAATAACAGGTAGAATATAGCCATTAACATAGTAGAGTAAAGCATTTAGTATACTTTGTGAGTACCTTATGCTTTAAAAATCGATATTGAATTAGAAATGTTATTGGGATACGATACCCAAGACTTACATAAACTTGATGTTTAAGTTTGTTTGTCAAATTGTATTAAAACCATAATATTTGTGACTCAAAACCATGATAACTTTATAAAATCTTGAAACCATTTTGTAAATGAGGGATTTCGTCGGGAAGGACTTCCACAATCAACATACGATTTTTTTGCCGAATCCCTCCTTTCATATCCTGGAATAAGTTCCTTTCCAGATTCATCTAACTACCAAATTATACTTTAATCAATACGCAAAAATTCCCATAAAATACTATATTGATCTACCCATCCACTTTACATCTTTAAGTAACCCCTACGTGTATTTTCAAATCCTTTGAACTATACCTTGCGACCCTACTACTATACCTTGCGACTATACCTTGACTGGGCCTTTTCATGTTGTGTTACTTACTGTTAGTTCAGTCGTTTCGATCAATGACATCCAAAATAATTTAAGAGGTTTGGATCATTATCCCATTAAAAGATTTTTAGTTTCTTAAAAAAAGCACTGGCGAAGACAATACAAACTGGGCACTGACCTTCCGGCTTTGGTGACGATCATCTCTGTGCCAAGGATGTTGAACTCCTCCCAGAGTGACTTCATCTCCAGAGATGCCGTCACGTTAGCCAGCCGAGGGTGGATCTCGGAGTTGTGCTTATCCGTCCCGGGCTCACCTTGGTTGACGCATGCTGGCAAAACACAAAGATACCACTTCAGGACCAAAATATAGATTGGAAGGCAACATGCAGGTCGAATGCTTTTCCGGTTGCAATATGATTCGAGAAGATAATTAAAAATGGTATGTGGACAAACTGTTTCGTCATTGAAAAATGACTTAAAACACCCGATCTTCCGAAATTTCCAAACTTTGGGTTCGTCAGTTCAAATTGATTGAGCCTTTTCATGGTTAGGCTTTCTCAAAATAAGCACTTCTTTCCATGAAAACTGACGTTTTTGCTTATTTGACGAGGGAGGGGTAACCAACAATTATCATTTTGTAACATATTTATTCCTTTTAACAGACTGAATACATAAGCTTAGATGGTGTTTACTATGAACACCTTGGTTTAAAGGTTTAAAGGAAAATGAAACGATATTGTTTACCTAATTTTGTCAGCGAACCAAATTAATGTGCTAGAACCTGGTTGCTTAGCCTCGTTATGTAAATTGAGAGAATCAGTTTTACATAAATCTATGGTACAATTTCAAATTAAATTTGACTTTGTTTCTGATTGTCAGTGGCTATGATATTTATAATGATTAACTTAAAACATTAACATGTAAATCTTATCAAAGCCTTGAAGTGGTACATGAAAATCATTTAATATGACAAATTGTAATTACCAATAAACAATGTTCTTTGTTTCAATTAGCATGAATGTATTAAACGTGACTATAACGTGTTAAGCATACTTGAAATGAATGGCATTTTTTTGGAACGAAATACAATCAGAAAATTATAAATCGGATACACAGTCGCACCACGAACATTTCGATTATTATATACGTGAACTCGTAGAATATTTTGCATTGAACATGAGAATAAGAGAGCACAAAGAAAATGATCATATAGTAAAACTTGTCTTCAAAAATTACCTGTTCAAACAGATCCTACTCAATTGTCGTGAATTCTCTCTTTAAGGATAAGTGAGGGATTATCTATCAAAATTGATTGAAATTTTAATAATCAGTCAAAACATCTAGATCTAGGAAAATCCTTGAACATCGAAGCCGTTCGAAAAGGTTGGACTCAAATTATCTTCCTCAGATCTTTAAAATGTAAAGGGGAGCAGACTGACGAAGAATGTACAGAAAAAGTCTTGATGTAGACTATTTGTACCGAACGGGAATGGGGAATGGCATGCATGCATAGGTGCCAACTGATTGTTGCACTAACCCATGCATCACCCAATTAGTGCTACTAAATATATCCTAACGTTATCCTAACGAAATAAACGTTGTCATTGGCTGTTCGTTGGCAGCTCAACTGTTTTATACCTCTATTAGTTTGTACATTCAGTTTTAATACGTTGGGAATTATACAATTTGGCAATAATTGATCAATACTTCCACATTTGTAGCATTTTTATGCTTTTATCCTTTACTTACATTGAAACTGCTATCACTGTCTGTTGATTGATTTCCACTTGGTTTAGACCTATTTTTAAATTTAAGTTATCTTGCTAACATGAATCAACAAAATTACAAAGATTGGTATATAAAAAAGTCAAAAATGTCGGTAGTGCTCATAAGTCTTATTAAGTGTATGGACTATGAAAAGAACTTTTAACAAGTCAATAATGTGTGCAATTTCAATTAAATTTCTGAATTGATTTTATGTGTGCGAAACCGTCCGTGGTATAATTGACATATTTTCACCACTGTTATTAATATCACATGACTTATCTATCTGTGACTTTAGATCCATCTTTAATGACAATACCATCGTGAAAACTAGTTAGTACTTTGTAAGAAGCCATTCAATTAAGAAACCAATTACCAGGTTTGTATTGTTATTAGAGTATAAGTAGATTTAACAATTTTTCAGATAGTATCCAAAAGTATTTTTTTCTGGACATCCAGTGTTTAGTTTCCGTTGCAAAAAATAGTTATTGTCTACTACGTATTATCTATTAGGCCTACTATATTTGCAACAAATGTTATCCTTTACTTACCCACTGAATTGATGTGATAATCAGAACAAATAAACAATAGGCAATATTTTTTGAAAAAAAAAATTGAACAACAAATCCTTTATCAGAAATGTTATAGACCCTTGACAAACCTTTGTCATTACCGTCACCAATTGAGATGTGGACGCTACTATACATATTTTTCCAAATATGAGGGAAGGATGAGTGTGGTAGAATGGAGTAGGATGGAGTGTGGTTGTATAGCTTTGTTTCCATAGCTATGACCATTATCAAAAGCCCAACGATCAAAAACAGCTGGGTAAACTTTGGAAACATCAAAAGCTTTTCTTAATGTCTCAGGATTGAGTCGACAACCTTTTGTTTGTTAAACCTTTACCATCGAAATTTGTATCAAGACTTACACGATATTTGTTTTAGACTATGAAATTAGGTTCAACGCTTATAGAATAAACTCTAAAAGTATGGTTTACCTACAGAAATTCACTTATATTGATCGTTAAATGGAACAGCAACTTAGTACAAAAGATTAAAAAATATCTTGTACAGTTCAGGATGGTAGACCCTTACCATCAACAGTGTTCATCTGCGCGAGATGAGAAGACAGCCACGCCGAAGCCGAGGACGAAACCGCGGGTGTGAAAGGAGCGCAGGCGGGGGAAGTGTAGGGCTGCATACTCACTACTCCATCTCACTGTCCTCTGTAACACAAATTTCAATATATAAGGTGTTTTTGGAAAAGATTAACAATGATCGGTTACACTCATCTATAGGAACAAAAATGTCTCTATGTCTCACATATAGGGTCTCCTATGGTTGTCAACTGAACATTAAGTTATATTAACAGAATTTGTGAACTTAAAAATTGCCTGACATAATGGTACTTTCCCGGCTGTGAATTTAAATAAAAGGCGAAAAGGAAAATCTTGAAATATAAGGTTCTTTCAAAGTACCTAAGTACCAGTGCATGGAAAAGTTGGTCAATTTATAAATCATATTTTCTTCAGTTTATGTTTACAATTTAGTAGATCAAACCTATCTTAACATAACTAAGAATCATCATCATTATAAGTTGGGTTTGAGGTTTATTATTAAAGATCGTCTATTACCGGTATAAAGATTTAGTAAATCAGCTATGCTCATTATTCCCAGACAAGGTCGTAGAGCTAACGGAAACGTCCACAATGTATTTTCCGAATTTTCAACTGATCTCCAAAAACATAATGACATATTTTAACTACTAGCATGCAGACAAAACAAAAAAATATCGAACTACTTCGGACTGCTCCCTACAACGGGTTCTAGATACATTTATAACACTTGACAGAATAGATTGTGTTATTTGACGCAACATACTGCATCAAGGCACAAAAATATTTAAACTCTAGAGCCTTAAACTCTAGAGTCTTTTTTAGATATTTAGAGTTTTTGGCCACTGTTGTAGACCTCTTCTTTAAATGATTGCTAGCGGTTTTTTTTTCAGAGAAGTACTCTGATGAGCAGAATATTAGATACTCCAGACATTAAGATTGATAGGTTATATATAATGTAATCTCAGAGTTCCATATGTATTTTAACTTTTTGGGTTATTTCGAGGAAAACCTTTTTAGAGTACTCGTCACAGAGCCCGTGAAGGCCCAGGCAATTGCTGTATATATAACATAAACCTTCTTTCCATTTAGCTGTACTTTCCTGTGGCGCTTTTTGTCAAGCTGGGACTCCACCTGTAGTTTCAAGTATGAATATTTTAGAGTAGTTACCACCAAAGCTGTGAGGGGCCCAGATATGATGGGTAATATTCTTCCCTAGACAAGACCGCTGTGGTTCACATATGGCAAACTCTTCAAGTAATATTGAGAAACTAATTTCCTCGTGGCGTTCACTTTTGGATACTGAAGTAGAAATCCCATCCATATGAACTAGTCCGCAAATTTCGAATTTTAAAAGAGCATTGTTTTGTGAGCCAGTCACAAATTGCGCTACTGTCTAAAACTCTTTTTTTACCTGACGTTTGTTTGTTTCTGAGATAGTTCACGATACATAAAAGATGCCACAGCTAACAATAAGTCGTCGTATCAGTTTAAATAGGTTTATCATTTCGGAAAATTTGACAGAAATCAGTAATATACGGAATCTGTCGGTGGCTCACGTCAACTACGTCCATTTTGATTATATGTGAAAATTTCATTACGTAGGCCAGAAGGTGTCAACCGAAGTGATTTTTCATGTTGTACATGTTTCAAGCCATTACAGCTCATCATCAGCAGCATTATACATTATTCTCATAAATTCATCAGGCGATGTTTGTCGGATATTTACAAACACTTATGTACATACAGAAGTAAACATTATGTGAATAACTTAACCAGTGTTTACAAATTTTCGAACACACGTGTGTACCTAGCAAACTGGAAGACATTCGAAGGCCTACTGAGGAACATTGGATCGTGACGTCACTGTATCAGCTGACTGGAGGTTCCTATTTCCAGTTTTGCTACCTAGTTCACAGTTCACATCGCCTTATAGGGTTTATGTAAATAATTGATGATGATGATGAGCTGTAATGGCTTGAAACATGTACAGCATGAAAAATGACTTCGTTTTACACATTCTGGCATACGTACGTATATGTAGATTTCCACTTTAATTAAATTTTAAAGGTGTCAAGGCTGTTCAATTAGAAACAAGGTCCATTTTGACTTAACTGACGACAACTTATAATGGGGTTGGTATGTTCAGTTATATCAATAGTTAAAGCTCGTGGTCACTAATGGCGCAAGGGTATTGGAGAATAAGTATTATGCAAACCTCCTCCCTTTTACACAATCCTACTGTGGACCCTCTTGTAATGTTTCGATTCCTCGGTTATTCGAGCAACGATATTTTCGAGTAGTCACCACCAAGATGTCGAAATCCCAGGAATTAAACGTTCTCCCAGTTAAACAATTCTTCTACAGCACCTCTGGTAAATCTTGAATCCCTCGGTTAATTTCGAGTGACGATATTTTCGATTAGTGGTAACCAAGATTTTGAAAATCCCAGATATTAAACATGACTGTGGCTCCTCTTGTAATTTTCAACTCCTTGGTTGGTTTCGAGTAACGATATTTTTGTGTAGTCGACACCGAGATATTTTAAAAATCCCAAACATAAATCTTTTCCCAGTTACACAATTCTTCTGTCCTCTTGTAAAGTTTGAACTCCTTGGTTAGTTTCTAGTATCGATATTTTCGAGTAGTCGCCACCGAGGCTGTGAAGGAGCCCGGAGATGAATGGCCAGCAGAGACCATTTGACTTCCAGCGCCGTTGCCAAGCCAGATATCAACACCTCGTTTGTTTCGGTCGACTGCCGGCCAGCCCTCTGTTATGACGGCTCATTGGATAGTGTGTTTAGTTTAGCCACTACGATCCATCTTCCAGTAACATGCTTCGAAACGAATTGCTTTCTTTAATTATCCTGTCGGGCCGAGAATACGGGAAAGTGTCGCAGCGCTTTCGTCTCAGTTGATCTTTTGATTAAGTTTAATTTGGACGGAAATGGTTCGGACATTCGATTTATAAAGATAGAATCTTGCCTGCATACATACGTATAATAGCAAGATAAAATACACTGTATGCTTTGATCCAAACTTTTTCTAATCTATTTTAGATACAGTTTTAAGTATTTTGTATAAAGATGAAAATATACTGCACAACACATGTTTACTTAAAATATTTCATGTATAGCATTTCCAAGATAAATAAAAATCAGAAACATGCTTGAAAATTAAGTTGTATAACCACTACCAAAACGATTCCCACAGTAAAACAGTTATTTACCAAGCTTAAGATTCAAAACAATTATATGGCATTCACACACACTGGATAATAGCATTAAACGCATTTGTCTGGAGTTTAAAGTAACTTTTTGGTCTAAAAATAGACTATGGTTTGCTATAGAAAAATTCAGTTTAAAAGTATCTGACTTTATTTGAAGAAAAGAAGATGTAAATCATTTGACTTGTATCAAAGTCTTTACATTAGATTCAGTCACATTCTATTTAATTGAATGCCTTTTCGTATTATTTTTTGTTTTGTACCCAGGACTTAGCTCGTTAGAGATTTTTATAGCCGAACGTACCTCCTTCAACAATAGAACAATAATTCTACACTATTGCATCAATATTCTTATCGGACCATTTTCAAGAGTTTTACTTTAGCAACTGCCCAAAAGCTAAAAGTGTCCTTGAAAATTCCAGGTACGATTCTGCAAAGTGTGTTACTACTGTTCTAACACATTCAAATATAGCCTATTCATATGTTTTTAGATATTAGACGAATACATGTTTCTTTGTAAATGTCATTAAGTATTAGCCGTTTTTAATTTCAATGCTGTACAAACAATTAGTGTTATACAACATTGAACGAATAATTGAAGTATGTTATTTTTAAAGCTGACTTCTGCAACAGTTTACATGAGAACTACTAGGTTTGATATTTCTCGATAGTTTACACATGCTGTACAGCTTGAGGGTGGTTCTAGTTTTAACTATGTAGCCACGCAGTCTCCCGGCGCAGGATGACTTATGAGCTAAATGTCATCAGGTCAACGGAAGGTGGAGGTGAAGGGGGGGCGGGAATCTCCCAGAGGGTTGTGTGAGTTATGGTACAAAGGAGTGAAACTATTAAATTAGCTGGTACAAAACTGTGAAAATAGCATTGACTAAGTTGACAGGTTTGAAATGTAAGGCAAACTAAATTTGAAAATGACTCATTGTCCCACTAGTACGAAAACTTTTACAAGAGTAGAAAATAGTTTACTATAATGGTCGATATTGAAATTTAAGTATTTTATGTTATAGTAAATAGCTAAATTCCAAGTTTATATAAAATATATTTTTTTAAAGACTGAATTGTATGAGACTTTGATTGCAAACCATTTAACAAAATATTCAAATGTGTTTAGGACCAAAAAATCAAATGTTATAATAAAATGACCAGCCGATTGCAAACTTTTAGAAGAGTGTCTACTAAAAAGGTAAATGTTGAGACGTAAGTATTAAACTTTGTAGTAAATATGCTGAGCTAGTACAAAATATTATCTTGTATTATTGAATATTATAGAACTTTGATTGCAAAACCATTTGGAAAAGATATTGTAAGATGTTTTAAACCTACCAAAAAGTAGAATGATATAATAAAATGGCAAATCGAGTTGTATAAATTTTTTCATGGTAGTAAAAAATAAAGATTTTAATACATTGTAACACGTTAATATAGAAGTTTGTAGTGGATTACCGGGTGTTGTATAATACAGACCGAGTCGTATAAAATTTCTATGCGAAACACTTTTAACACCCTAGTTAAGGTTAAAAAGAGTTAAAATGAATTATTGAAATATGTCCTGTATAAAGATCAATATTATATCGATCTTTATATGTAACTTTGGACAATCTAGAGGCCAACCTACATAAAAAAGTAAGTTTAATCGAAGTAATTATACGGATAATAATCTAAACCAAAGAAATCAAAGACGATAAGTTTTGTAATTATTACAGTATCCACTACTTTAATTGTATATGAATAAAAACATTAAGACCACTATTGGGTACTATAAGACAGGAGTGTATAGACTGTACTAGGGTCCATAGTGAATGAAACCGGGTTAAAATAGCTCAATCTGATCAGGTTCATTATGGACGGAATGTAAGCTGATAAAATA